AATGGTCAAATATGCAAAATATGCAACTATAAATTTTAAATATAAACTTGTATTGCTATGAAACAAATTTCTATATTAGTTAGCTATGTTTTTGATGATTATTTAAAAACATGCAACCTCCTAGAAGTCCCGAGCCCTACTTATGACTATAACGGCTGATATTTGGACTGATGTTATTAATACTACTAGTTATTTGGGTATGACTGTAAATTTTTGAAATACATCCAAACTAAGTTTGGAAAATGTTACTATTGGTGTTTTAGAACTGGTTGATACTTGATAGTGTAATATCAGGGGTACGAAACTCCGAGCGTTGGCCGATCAGGCGATTGCGGCCTTGAACCGGTATCCAGGGGGGAGTGGCATACGTGAAATAGGGAATGGTAAACAAGCCGATCCCGCGTAGCGTATCCCGCCTATGTTTCGGGATACGTTTACATAATACGGGTGACTTTGGGTCCAACATCATGTTGATACTGGATACGTTTCCATGTTTTTCGGAGGTTCAGACTTCAGATCATAGGGAAACAAAACCCCAATCAGCTTCTATATTGTTCTGTAGTAATATACTGGTTGTCCACGTGACTACTTGTATATTAACGTTGCAGGTAGCTAGACCGTTTCGCTGATGATGATGAGGAAGTTGTCGAAATAAAGTGTAGACAGATGTAAATATAATGTGGTTTTATTATAATGTTCTTCAATAATTTGTACAGAGTCCAAGTTACAATATTATGTTGTAGTGTTGGGCAACGATATAATTTTCTGTATCGATATCGTTCAGATTTTTCCGATATTGTATCGCGATATCGTTATTTCTACGATATCGATATCGTATCTTAAATATAATTTTATGTTTACCTAAACAATTAAAAAAAAACTTTTCGTATTTATTAATATTTATTACCTATTCATTATTATACATACTCGTACTTATAAGTTATTACTTATTACTTAGTTATTTTTATTTATAATAAATTTGTTATACATTTTGTTACATTTGTTTTACATTTTTATGTTTTATGTTAACCCTTTTTGACTTCTCCTTAAATGTGTTCAACTGTGATAGGTGTATCCTAGAAAATAAATTCATAATTATTTTAATATTGTTGAAATATACAATTAATATGTAGTATCCTTGACACGTGTGTACAATTTAGTAACTAGTTATATACGAGCATAAGACTCACTCTCTTTACGGATGTAACATGACCTCAGTCGTGCATATATATAGGACCTTTCATGTATGTAATACTCACTTACACAGGCGTCGTCGTACAGAGCGTATACGATGTGTGTGTACTGTCATAGTTTAATTGTCCAGTTGTACGTTATTATATATTATACTTATACATAATCATACTGTCGTGTTATTACTTATTATATTAATGCTAACATCATTAGTCCGTCAAGCTTCACTTTCAACAAAAAACATAATATACGTTTGAAAAGAATAGAGTACTTACCAAAAATTCTTGAGTTTCGTAGACAAGGTAGAAAATAGTGTATACTTACGAAAGTTACGTATTAAATAGAATTTTAAAACGGTTTAAAATATAATTTTGATATCTGATTTTCAATTTATTTTATATTTAGCTTAAAAAAACTTTGGACCGGAAATCAACCCTTTTATGAATTAATTACACCAATACCTAAAGATAGCTATTAATAGCCTAAAATTGAAAGACACATTTATAAAAATGTTTACGTTGTATAGTATAAAGATACATTTTTGTTGAAAATTTCAAGACTTAAAGACGATTATTTTTGAAATTACGGAGAATTAACTATGATAATGGCATTATTTTACTACGCAGATATTTGTTTTTTAGAAGTTAATTGATAGTAAATGCGAAGGTCGCAACTAAATGCAAACAAAAACTATATATTTGAAAAGCTGACAAGTTTTACAATAACATTTATCTATTCGCTATCGATCATTTTGGATCGCTTTGGATCTGCAGTCTACGATAGTTTAAAAAATGCTATAAATATGAAGCGCATAACATATTCAATTGCAGTTTAATATCTATCTATGTATAAAATATGAATAAAATACGGACTAGCACTTACCTTCCATGTCTAATTCCATAATCAAATAAAATATTGGATGGTAAATTGTATTGAAGTGCCTCGAACACGAGCAACAGAGAAATGACGAGTTTTACTCACTATTAGAAATTGTAATTATTTTACTTATAATAGATCTATAGTTATCGAGGTTTGATGTGGTTATGGCTAAATTATTTATCAGGAGGCTATTAAATATTGATTAATATATTGTATAGATAAAATATCACCTAATAAATATTTTATTTTTGTACTTTTTTTTTTTTTCATTATGTCCGCCTAAAGTTTAATTTCGGACCACTGTGAGGCGTCGTCTTACAGAGCGTATACGATGTGTGTGTACTGTCACAGTTTAATTGTCCAGTTGTACGTTATTATATATTATACTTATACATAATCATATTGTCGTGTTATTACTTATTATATTAATGCTAACATCATTAGTCCGTCAAGCTTAACTTTCAACAAATATTGTCTTGAATTCAAATTTGAAAAATTAAAATGTATTTCACCGGAACACGTGCACCAAACGTTATCAGCTAATGGCTATTATTATTTATTAATTTATTATAGCTATATACAAATGTCAAATAGTAAATACCTACCATGTATTTTTCTGAAAAATATTATTTTCGATATCACGATATATCATACAATACAAAACGATAATCAAATGTCGGAAATTTGTCACGATAACGATATCGTATCGAATTATCGATATCGTTGCCCATCACTATTATGTTGTACAAAGTGTCGTGAAGGTGCTTTCAGTTCAGTGGAGTGAACACGTCCGAATACAGGCAGTTTCGGGGTCCCTCTTATGGTCCGGTCCCCGCTCCCCTTGCCTAGTGATACCGTATATCTCGATTCTCCCGGATGTGGTCTACGTAGCCATCATGAACTAAGAAGTATGAGTTACACATATGAAATACAATTCTAAGATGGTATTAATATGTTGAAAGTGAAGCTTGACGGACTAATGATGTTGTAACGTACCAACCACTTCAACTCAATATTGATGGTATTTTGAATTAAATAACAAGTTGATTTTGTAATGAAAGTTCAGTTGTATTTATTTGACACATAAAATAGACTAAGTCCAAATAATTAAATTATAAAAATGTGGTAAACGGGTTGTGACTTAGTATCGACTTCGTGGCTGTTCTGCTATAGTGTTCGTCGTCTCGGCTGGTGTTCGTCTGATGGACACTTGTCCATCGACGTATTTCGTCGGTTTTCCTATTAGATCCCTCCTATGGCATTTTTAGTATAAAAATGGTACATAGCCGCGTACACCTGACGTCATTTCGGCGTCCTCTACGAAATAATGTTAATTGGGATTATATGTTTTCAAAGTTATCTATTTTTGTTGTTTACGGCTTTTTCGTCTTTCCTAGAATATGGATAATGTGCGCGTATACCTATCAGGGTTCGCGCTGTACGCCTGTACCATTAATTAGTTCTGTGCTCTTATCGATGTGGCTGCCCGGACGCTTATATTATTACTATTATCGGGTTACGTGCCCCCTGCAGCATTTATATCTGTTATTGAATATAATATATTATATTATAAGCGTATTATACTTAATACAGCATAATATAATATAATATTTTATATATTATTACTATTATAATATGTACGTAGTCACAGCCCGTTACAATGTTAGCATTAATATAATAAGTAATAACACGACAATATGATTATGTATAAGTATAATATATAATAACGTACAACTGGACAATTAAACTGTGACTATACACACATACCGCGTACACTCGGTATGACAGCGTCTGTGCAAGTGATTATTACATACATCAAAGGCCCTATTTATATGAACAATCGAGGGCATTCCGTATCCGTATATAATATAGAAAGCGATAGTAAAGGTCTTACACAGCTATATCGTAACTGCATAAGTATCTATTAGAAAACGACATTGTACACGCACGTGTGTTTACATGGTTTGAATACTAATATTAATTGTATATTTCAACACCCTCCCTCAATTAATAATTTCTTTAATTGTAGTCACTCCTATGGCTGACCGCAACTTCTCGAATCGTTCCTTAACCAAAGGCTTAGTTAGAATGTCCGCAATCTGGTCCTCTGTTCCAATGTACTGTAGTTGGAACTGTCCTTCTTCGTATTCATAGGCGCAACTAGACCTGCAATTTAAGGGGTGCTAAAATTTAGTATACCTTGGTAACCCGTGGGGGGCTTCCCCCACCAACACACAACTTCAAAGCTATTAACAACATGCTTTTATAACTCAACTTCATATTTATATTAATTTATATGATAACACATTTGATATTTTGATAATGATTAATATTAAGGAACAATCACTAAAAACATTATAATTAATAATTAATTACAATAACTAATAACAACTATTTAGATAACATATTATAATCTATTATTTTAAAACAATTTTCCTGGTTTTTGTGTTATATCTATCTAACACTGTTTCCGTTTGTATTTTATTTGATAAATCCCTCAATATTTAAAATTGACAAGTCACTAAAGCGCTGCTGCAACATACTTGTTCTTAGCCAATTTTTGATACGTCTCATACTAGAAAAACTACGTTCACAAGTTGCAGAACTTATTGGGATTGTAATTGCAATTTGAAGTAGCTTATACAAGTTAGGAAAAGCTTCTTTATTTATTTTTCCTTTAATGTCATCAAAATTGAAATCTGGTGGCAAACAGTTTTTGAAAACCATCATTTCAGCTTTTAATAAATCGATTGAAACTTTTGTCACATTCTGAAATTAAATAGTAAAAATAATAAAAATATTAAAGTTATAGTAACTTAAACTACACTACTGAAAAAAAAATTGAATTCAATATTGAAATTGTATTTAATATTATATCAATTTTACTTTATAGTTATTTATGAACTCTAAGCTTCCTTCATAGTTCATATTCATAAAATTATCAACGGAGCAAGCCATAGATAAACTTTCTTCAGAGAACCTATATTTTAAATTAACGATTATAGAATCAATTATTGGATAGTATAAATTTTGTCTCCAATAGTCTTCAACAGATTGTGTAATATTTGGTTCATTTTCTTCTCCAGTTGTTAATTGTAAGTAAAAATTGTTCAAAGATTTCGGTTGAGTTCTTATCCGTTTTCTTCCTAATCATTAAATACATTTTTTATTAGTAACTTAAAATTAAATTACTGTTATATGTATTTAAATTTTGATTTTTGTGAACATGAATTTTGTTTTGATGGTATTGTTAATTAATAATTATTACATATGAATGTCTAAGAAATGTATTTCACACATAAAGTTAAAACTTATTTAAGAAAAACCTTTAGATTTTACAAAGGTTTACAGTTAATCTAATATTTACCTTTGTGTGGTACTTCAAGGGTTATATCATTCTCTTCAGCTAAAGATGTAATTTTTTGCCAAAATGTAGAAAATTCAATGTCAGAACGTAATTTTTCAATACTTTGTATACTTCCATTGATAATGCTTTTTGCTTTTCCTAAAGTGGCATTTTTAGATTGTAATGTGACACTTATTATATTAATGATACCAAGAATGTCTTTCAATAGAGTAACTCCAATAAAAAAGCACAGTTTTGTATTTGACCGAGAATACCTAAAATTATAATTAAGAAAAAAATTCAACAATTAAAAATAATGTATCAAATTATAATTACATTACATAATTTTTTTTCAATTACCGATAGCTTCAATAGCATCTTTGTCCACTTGTGCTTCAACTTCATTCTTTAAAAATTCTAATATTGATGAGTAATTTTTTATCATCGACTCGCAATTTTTATAGCAACATACCCATCTTGTATCGCATATCCTGAGAACATTTCCTTTTTTTAAACCTAGTTTAGATTGAACTTCAATGAGTTTAGCATTGTTGGATGGTCGAGAGAAATGAACATAAACCATTTCTAAAGTATTAAAAATACTTCGAGCTCTCTATAAATGTTAATACAGATTATATAATTATATGATAAAAATTTTATTATTTTACTACAGGTATAGCCGTATAGGCATTCTGTTAAAAATACTTCAATGAATTATTGTTTGATTATTATTTTATTATTATTATTATTATTTTTATTATCTTAAACTAATTAATACCTTTATTCCTTTACACATATCCACAACAATCAAATTTAATCTGTGTGCCATACAGTGTGTGTATATGGCATATGGAAATTGTTGTTTAATTTTTGCCTGGACACCTCCAAGGTGTCCAGCCATTACGCTGGCACCATCATAAGACTGAGCAACAATATTTAATGTATTGATATTAATACTTAAATTTTGAAAACAATTAAAAACAGCAGAAATAATATGGTTGGCAGTTTGTCCATTAGAAACATCTATGAATTGCAAAAATCTTTCACGTGCCTCAAGACCAACAGCATACCGCACACATACAGATAACTGTTCTTCTTTATGGGACCTGTGGACAAATATATATTTACATTTAAAAAATATTAATTTGATCAAAATATAGGTATATATGACTATTATAAATATTACAATGGTGAAATATATTGTACCTGGCTTCATCAACCATAAGTGCAAAATTCCCAGAAACAACAATTTCCTCAACAATAATTTCTTTAATTAGGTCAGCACTTATTTTAATAATTTCGTCCTGCACTTTCCAACTGGTATGGTTAATTTTATTCTCATATACATTTTTCAAATCTGGCATGAACTTTGAAAATACCATATGGCACATTTCCTTATAATTACCTAAAATTGTATTTATATTATTACAAGAAAATATTAATTTTATTAATAAATAATAACATTATAAATATTAAATGTACCTTGATTTAAAGAATCTAAATTTTCATTATGTCCTCTAAATGCTATGCCTTGCTTAGCAAGGTATAACACAACATCAATTAAACTAGACATGTATTTGCGATTAATTTCAACTTGTTTTTTATGAGCGCTAGATAGTTGTGTCACAACAGATCCTGTCTTTAAACTACTTTTATATGCACACATTTTTGATAAATTAGTCAAATGAGTACTGGTAGAAGAATGTTTTTTGATTTTACAAGAAACTGAAAAAAATGTGGTCGATTATATTAATCATGATACAAATTTAGTATTCAATACTAACGTCTAACACAGTAAGTTATTCTAGCGAAGTTTAAGTTTTTGAATAATTTTTATTTTTTAATTATTTTATTTGTAAAAATACATATACTATTACACTTCAAAATAAACTACTTACCTTTTGCCAATTATTGAACCCAGATTTAATCCATATATTTTCACCTGAATTTTCTGAACCGAAAGTTCGGCAAACAAAGCAGAATGCAGCGTTACGCTGAACACTGTATTCTAGCCAATCACATTCATTGTACCATTGGCTTCGAAACGATCTTTGTTGTGTTCCAAATTTAATTTTTTTATATTCCTAATTAATAAATAATAATAAAATTAATCAGAAAAATATTAAACACCTTATTATAGTTTTATTATTATTATTTTATTTTATTTATTTAAAAAAACTCATAAAACGAATTATTAAGTTTTTATATTATGTAAACAGAATAAATCTTACTGTAAGTATAGGACGACATGGGCCGGAATCTTTATTTCCCAAATCGGCCAAATCAAGAGTTGTATCACTTGTATGAGTAGTACTATTAGTAGAAATGTCAACCATGCCAGGATCGTCAATATCAGCTTCAATTTCGTTTTCCTCATTATTATCTTTAGGTTTCCGTTTTTTAAAAATACTAAACATTTTAAATACCTATCAATTCAGATTTACGGAGACGGAATACTGTTACCTGTTGGCAGTTCAAGTTTTGGGTACTGTATGTCTGTATAACGTGTGTCGTCGTCTCGTCGACTGTTGTGTAATGTTATAAGTTATATTTATAATTTATAACGATAACGCATATAATGGAAAACATACGGGTAGCGGATTACGTAGATATAACAGTTTAAAAATAACTATTAACACAACCAAATTCCCAATGCAATATACCTTACCTATCGGCTATCATGATATTATATTGTAGACCTCATGACAAACTATGTTGTCATCTAATATAACTATCTTCGAAACATTAAATATAAATAAATTATTCTAAAATAAAAATTTGAACAGAATAGGTAGGTACAATAATGAAATACCTACAGCTTACAAATCAAGGATTTGACTTTGAATTTTTGGGGGTGCTAATTTTTAGTCTGGGGGTGCTAAAGTCCCCCTAGCACCCCCCTAGTTGCGCCTATGTTCGTATTACTCCCGTATGAAATGATATCGTACGTCTATGTGTTTTGTCCTCTTATGAAACTCCGGATTCTTAACTAAACGAATAGCACTCTGATTATCAATGAATAATACCGGTTGTTTATCACCTGTTTTTGATAAGCTTATTATCAACCGCGTAATCCACATGATCCCTTTTACAGCTTCACTGGCCGAAATATATTCAGCCTCGGTCGATGACAATGACACACAATGTTGTCTCTGCGATGTCCATGAAATTATGCTCGACCCGTATCTGAATAGAAATCCTGACGTTGAACGTCGTGTCTGAACGTCACCTGCGTAATCTGAATCGCTAAATATTTCTAATGACAATTGTGTATTATGATTAAAATACAAGCCATAATTAAATGTTCGTTTGACATATCGTATAATCCGTTTTACCAAGTTCCAATGAGCTTTAGTTGGTTTTGCTAAGTAACGACTAGCAAAGTTTACTGCATATGCTATATCTGGTCTCGTTACCTGTGATAAAAACAGTAAGCTACCTACTGCCTGCCTATAAGGTATTTCTTCACTTAATATCTCCGATTCTGCCTTTTGTTCAATAGTATTCAATAGTAGTCTTTATCTGAACTTCGTCAGAGTAGGGTGTGTTTCGTTACGTTACCGGTTTTAGTTTTCTTGATTAAATTTATTGACATTGTAATACGATTATAATGGTGTTTAAGTGCGTTAAATGTCTTGAGACGTCTTCACACAAAGAAGATTTTCTCGAATGTTCTATGTGTAAAAATATATTACATTTCTATTGTACAGGCTATCGAACAAAGTTTTAAAAAAATGTCAAATAATACAAAATCGAGATATTTATGTACTGACTGTAAAACACATAATATACAAAAATCTCCAAAATCTCATACAAATGAAATTACAGTTAATACAGAAAACTCAATGGGAAAAAAAATCGAGGAACTTATTAAGTCAGTATCCTTTATGAGTTCACAATTTGATAATTTTAATAATAAAATTGACAATATCGCGAGTGAATTGAAAATGATTAAACAAGTAAATGAAAAAATAATAGCAGAAAATAATCGACTAACAGATGAAGTTTCCGTACTGAAAAATAAAATCGACGAAATTGAACAATACAATCTAGGAATATCAGTGGACGTAATGGGTATACCTAAAACTATTAATGAAGATTGTATTTCCATAATAGAAGAAATCGGTAAAAAAAACTAATACTGAATTAAAAGTACTTGAAGCCTATAGAATAACCTCTTTTACATCTAAATATAATATTATTACTGCAAAATTAGCAACAATTGATATGCGGAAAAATCTAATTCGAAATGGAAAATCTTTGAAACTGACAGCAGATAAAATAATTAATAGTTGGCCGAAAGAAAAAATATACATTAATGAGCGTATTACAAAATCTAAAAGAGCTCTTTTTGCACAAACTAGATCTGCTGCGAAAGAAAAATTATATAAATTTGTTTGGCTATCGAATGCGGATATTCTTGTAAGGAAAAATGAAGATTCCAAAATAATAAAAATTAAATCTCCTCAAGATATTGAAAAACTATAGTTAGTATAATTTTAATATGTATAATATAAATATAAATTAATTTATAAAATTAATTTTTAAACTCTTAAATGAACAAGAATATATTAAATATTGATGCAATATTATTATTATTATTAATTTATTTCTCAAGATAAGAATACTGGGCCTCACTGAGTATTCTCGTGTGGAGGCCCAGGAGTTATTATGTGTACATGAGTTTAATTAATTTCTAGTGTATAAGTTACATGTTGTATTGTTTAAAATTATTAATTATATAATATTAAGTAAAAATATGTGTCTACTATCTTAGTGAAACATTACAAATTAAACGTAAATAAAAAAAAAAAAATCATGATATATAAACCTGTAGTAGATTTCTTATAATTAGAGTATAAAAACAAAAAAATAGAACATAGAAAAATTGATAAATAATATAAATTTAACAAATAGTTAAAAAAAGGTATGTTATTAATTATAATAATAGGTTATTGTTGAATTCATAAAGAAGCCATTTCTTAAAGTCTATCTTAAACCTAAGCAGAGTTAATGCATGGAAGTGTTTTGGTATTAAGTTTAGGATTTTTGTACCGACGAATTTATATTGTTTTCTTGTGCCCGTTTTATGAGGCCATTGCATTGTATAATTATTATTTTTAGCGAACCTGGTAACAACATTATGACTCAGGGGTAATGGGACATCATGTTTTTTTAAGAAAAGGACTGCTGAATTAAAATATATTTTTTTGATATCTAGAACATTAAAGTCTTCGTAAAGTTGTTCTGTATTGTATGTTTTGTCTTTACTTAAGGCGATCTTAATTAGTGTGTTTTGAGTAGTTTGTAATCTAGAGAGAGCGTTCTCATATGATCCTCCCCAGCCTATAATTCCATAAGATATTATTGGTTCAATCAGTGCCAAGTAAATTAATCTTAATTCTTTCTTATTTAGGATATCTCGAAATTCTCTCATTATATATATCATTTTTCTGGTTTTCTGTGTTAATGAATTTATTTGATCATGCCATTTCATATTTGAGCACATTTCTATACCCAGATATTTGAAGTTATTCACAACGTTTATTTTCTTACATTCACACTTTATATTGTTGGCATAGC